CTGGGGAAGGTGCATGTTTGAAGAAAAGAGAGAACAGCCAGCTAAACAACGTTATACTGAAGAAGTTTAATGACATCTCAGTCTCAGCAGTAGTTAGCCAAATAACAGAAATGTTTGCTAAATCACAGAAAGATGATTGAAGAGTCATTTATGAAATCACATGGTACTTTTTCTCCTTGACTCAGTGGCAATGCAACAGTTCTTAGCATATACTGCAGGGCATCAAGAGACATATTCAAATACTACAACCTTCCTCTGAGGATTCTGGTGGCTTGCTCACCCTTGTCTCCATGTGTGCACTGCTCCACTGACCAAAGTTGTCCTATGCAATGGACCGTGAGATTCCTGAGTGTTCCTTGTTGCTTAGATGCCATCCTGTGCCATTCACCTGCTGTTGAAAAGTTGCTAGGACACTGAACTGACAACAATAAAAGCACCAGAACAGCTGTCTACATGTCAGAATGTGAATGCTTGATGCTACATTGATCATGGTAAATAATCTGCACATTTACACAGTGAAAGCCTTTGCACTGATGTAACTATGGGGAGTTCTGTTTGGGCCGTAAAATGAATATATCCCACAACACTGGGGAATCCAATGATTTTAAAAGAAGATATATTGTCAACAATTTGGCACTCAATTGAACTCAACAAACTGAACTGCCCTGCAGAAGAGAGCATTGCCTTACAAATGAACACACAGAGAATTGACTGATCCAGCAAAACTATCAGGAATTAGTCTGTAGCTAAACGTTCATATCTGTAGTTACTTTCTTGGCCGCAGTCAGGCCTGTCAAGGCTGAGGACTTTATTGACAAATCCAGTTGCAGCAACGAGTGGAGGTTGTACTTTTTTTTTAATGACTGAAGTGTGTTCTCTTGAGACAAAGATCATGAGAAAGATATTGGAATGCTTCTCTGGGTTGACACATCTGCTATGTGGATATCACGTTTAGACTTCTGCAGCTCTTTTCCTCCTAAATGTAAAGTGGGAAGCCTATTTTGATGAAGGGTCTGCATTTCTGAAGAAGGGTCTAGGCCCGAAACGTCAACCTTACTGCTCCTATGATGCTGCTTGGCCTGCTGTGTTCATCCAGCTCCGCACCTTGTTGTCTCAGATTTTCCAGCATCTGCAGTTCCTACTATCTCTGATACAATTTTAACCCCACTGCGAAGCCTCTTCTAAGGATGCCTACCCTGAAGAAGTTACCCTCCTCCTCCGGACCCATTTCTGATGAAGGGTCTAGGCCCGAAACGTCAGCCTTACTGTTCCTATGATGCTGCTTGGCCTGCTGTGTTCATCCAGCTCTGCACCTTGTTGTCTCAGCCTATTTTGTGCTCCTTCTTAACTCCCATTAAGTACAAAGCTCTCCAAACGTAATAGAGAATTTAGTGAACACTTCCTGATTACAACTGTGCAAAAATTTTACAAGTGTTCGTAACAATCCTAAGAAATAGCCTGGCCACAAGTCTGCAAAAGCGACCTCACTCTTAACAGTTCTCCTGCAAACAACTGCTTCTGCCCTAATAATCTGCTCCTGGTATCTTGAGCCAATTTCAATGTGAGAAGCTAGAGGTCATGGATTCCAGGAGGGGTGACACTCTGTTGTTTCATGGGATGTGGACATCATCAGCAAGGTCAGCATTACTTGCCTATCCCTAGTTGCTCTTGCACTGAGTGGTTTACCACTTCTGAGGGCAGTAAAAAGTCAATCACATTGTTGTAGATCTGAAATCACATGTAGACCAGGCCAGGTTGGTAGATTTCCTTTCCTAAAGGACAAGAGTGAACCTCGGAGATTTTTACAACGATTATCAATGGTTTGTGATTCAGCATGAAACAAGTTTTCAATTCCAGATATTATTGAATGAACTTAAATTCCAACAACAAGAACTTGAATCTGAACCCATGCTCTAAGAACATTAGATAGACTAGAATATTCTAGTTCCTAAGCCAGTGACATTACTGTAATGTTACCCTCTCCCTGAGGGCATAGGCTTATTCTTACTGCATAATTTACATTTTACTTCCATGGCGTGGGCAGGCTCTCCCACATGCCAAATGTAATTTGTGGGATCCCTCATCAATAAGAAGATACTTACTGATAAATCATTAATGAAACAAAACCACAGGGAGTAATTTTCCAAATATTTGCTGGTGAAAGATCCTTCCCTAAGATCTATGCACATTGGAAAGGCATAGTAATGTTTCAATATATAATTAACATTTGTATGTGGTGAAGTTTCAAATTTACCTGGCCCAATTTTCCTTTGTGGTTATGTTGGTAAACAGAATGGGGGTGGAAAATCGGGCACTGAGCATTCTCCTTTCTCCTTGCCACCTGATGTCACCTTTGGGATTTGTTCCTGGAAATTATGTTAAATGTATATTGTTACAATAGGGTGCAAAAGATTTAATTAAAGACAACATATAGCCTGTCTCTCCAGCATCATTGGACACAAGGAATGCTGATTTGCTCCCAGGCTTGCTGGCATTACTTATCTAAATGAGATTGTTTAAAGTTGAAATGACTACTTCAACTGAGGTAATAGATTGTCAGGTTGGAATATAAAGCATTAGAAACTATTTTTAACCTGTTGTTCTCCAGACCAAGTGGAAAATCAGCTGCTTCATCCCTGGTGGTAATAGCCTTGAGAAAGGGTTTTATAACACTGGAGCACCCAGAGTTACTCAGCTTTTCCTCAAGTTGGTGTTTATATAGGTAGTAGTCATCCATTTGCTGTGCTGTGGTTCAGTGGGAATCTCATTGTCTCTGAGGGACACCATTGTGGAGTTTGCAACTCATTCCAGGGACTTTAAAACTGAATTTACTGAGGGTGTGCTGTGGTGCCAGGGATGACGTCTTATCAAATGAGATATTAAGCTGGTTGGTGGCTCAGCAGATGCAAATGATCCCATGCGCTATTAAAGAAGAGTAGACAAATTCTCACCTATGTCCAGGCGAATTTTTATCCTTCAATCTCACAAAATAAATTTTCTGGTCATTACCACTTTGTTGTTGGTGGGAACTTGCTGTGCAATGCCTTAAATAATGAAGGATCACTTCTATTGTTATCTTTGCATATTTTTGTTTCCCTGTTGTTCAAAATGCATGGTTGGCTGTAAAGTTCTTTGGAAATATCCTGAGGTTGTAAAAGGTGTTACAGAAACACAAGTACTTTGTTTTCTTTACTGAACTTAAATTTGAAAGCACAGAACCCCCTCCCTATTGGCATTGTAGGTGTACTAACCCCAAATGAACTGCAGTGGTTCGAGAAGGCAGTTAATGACCACCTTTTTAAAGCCAACAAGGGGTGGGCAATAAACTCTGGCCTAGCCACATCCCATGAATGTATAAGAAAGTAATAATGTAGTACATCCTTCTTAGTGAACTGTACTAGCTGGGAGTAATTGGACTGTAAAATTACCAAATGTCCAAATATTTGGTTCAAATGCAATATGATGCAAAATCAAATGCTTCACAAAACTCAAGATGTGAGATCAATAAGCAAAGATAATAATGGGAGTGATCCTTCATTACTTAAGGCAAAAAGGACCTAGGAAATCATCCCATATCCAGATGAAAATGGAACCTCCTGCACTGCATCATATGTAACAGTGAAGGAGCAGGCTTCTGACAAAATAATCACTGAGGTACCCATCTGCTCCAGAGACTTTGCCAGCCTGGTAATAAATAAACAGAATGATTAATCCCCTCCAAAGAGATGAGGTCATCTAACTGAACATGATCCATGCTATTCATGCTTGGGAAAGAGTCTGCGACAGATATATCTGGATTGTGATGATGAGGCAAAAAGTGGAGCTGTAATGGATCTGTGCACCTTGGGCATTAGATAAGACATTCCATTTTATGATGCATTCCTATTTCACCAGCGGCTGCTCTGTTGGAATGCTTCTCTTTTGTGATTATTACTAATAGAGTTCCTGCTTTGAATTTTCATCTTAAATGAAAAGCAAGTGTACATTTTGACCCAGATAGCAGCATATCACATAGACTCTGCTAGTTCTTTGCAAAAACTATGTAAAAAGTCTTACTGCCCCAAGAACTCAGCAAAAGTAATATTGAAAGAACAGAAGATCTGCAATTATCTGTATTTCTTGTGACTTCAAGACATCCCAAAGTATTTTATGGCCGATAAAGTACCATAGTTTTGTAGGAAACTAGGTGGCCAATTTTAGTTCCCACATACAGCAAAGGGATAATGAGCAGATAATCTGTTTCTGTGATGATGATTGAGGGGTTGAAGATAATTCCATGTACTGTTATAGATCTCACAGGTACCTCCTGTTTATAGAGTACACAGAAGGAAATCATTCTCTCATATCTCAATTGGTGAGAAAAGTGTCCAATGTGGAAGCAAGTCAAATGAACAAGGACATCCTTTTCTGGTGAGTGTTTGTCTATCACAGGAATGCAGTTGATTGTAAAGGAGAGTGTGGTTGACTCAGCAACTGCAGATTAGATAGGAACAATATGAACCAAAGCTCCTGTACGGTCCCTTCGGAAGTGATATTCGGTATGGGCAAAATTGAATTCTGCTTTTTTGTTACACAGAATTAGCTGTAATTTTGCAGCAGATAAAGACACCTTTTGGTCTGTGTGCTTATGCTGCACATTGGTTTCCTCCTACTTCACTTTACCCAATCAAAATATCTTTCTATTCCCCTCAATCTCATATCTTCCTGTTAAAAGGATCAGTGCGATTTGCCTTAAGCACTCCTTCTGGTTGCACGTTCTAGATTGTCACCATTTACTGGTCAGAATTCCTCCATATTGGATTACTACTGACAATCTTATCTTCTGCTCTGTAGTTTTGGGTCCCTACAAGTGCAAACATTCTCTCCATGTGCACTCTTATTTAACCCCTTCATAATTTGAAGGCCTCTTTCCAATCACCTCTCAGTCTTCTATTTTCAAGAGAAAAATGTCCCAGCTCTTCAAGCCCTCCTTGACAGTTTTCTTTCTCGGTTTTGTCTAGATCCAATCATTGGGCATTTGTACAAGGAGCTGGAGGGACAACAGCAGGCACCTTTGGAACTAAATGGCAGGAGAGGCTCCTTTTGTAGGAGGGGGTAAGTAAAGGAGGGAAAGTAATAAGAAAATTGGAGACAAAAATATGCTGAGAGAACGTGAATAATTTTTATATTCACAGACACTGACCCCTAGTGGACATCAGCATTATTGACACCAGAATATTTCTGTGGATAAATGAAACAACTTAGAACAATTTCATAGCCTTAATGACTGACTAATTTAAAAAAAGTGTTCAAGTTCATTGTGGGGCCTGTTGAAGGTTCATTGGTCTTCCCTCATGACTCTGTGGGAGATTGGTATAACTGGTATCTGGTTGTGCTGCAATTCTAGCATTTCTGGTAGTTTTTTTATTTCTGTGTAGACTGTTGTTTCCATCTACCCCTTACAATGATGACATGGTATTGGGACCAGAGGGAGAAAGTGGTCACACTGCCAGCTTCCATCCTTTGTTTAGGCTGCTATTAGAGGTAGCATTATAAAATGAGTCTTCACCATTGCTAATTATGTGGTATGAGCTATAAACCACTTGTTAGTTTAACAGGAAGAAACTGCATCTTAAACAAGGTACAATTTATTGCATAATAGCAACTAGGTACAAGTTACATTAATATGATAGCTAGAGATGACGAGGATGACCCAGATGGTAGGTTTCACTCCTTCGAGATCGTAAGTTGTTTTCCTTCCAAATATGTATGTCATTGTCATAGTGGATGGTGCTTAAATCACTCCTCAGCATTAACCCTTTCACATCCTTGCATATTTATATAACTCTTTCCATGAGCCTTTTTTCATTTATTAATATGTTACACACTTGTGTATGTAATTACTTTAACCACTACACCATATCTCCCCAGACCCCTCCAGACTCTCTGACTTCACAAATTTGGGCTGTCTAGAGGTTTCACAATTCTCCCATAACGCATTCTCTTCAGAATTTGAAGTTTGCTAGATCTCTGGCTTGAAGGCTGCTGATTTTGATTTGGTACTTAACAGCGTGAGATTAGGGAAGACCCTTTAACACGGACAGCCTTTTATCTCTTGGATTTCCTTTCGTTGATTGTGTCTTTCCTGCTGAAATGGGTAATTGCTTTTTAATGGCATTTCCTTGGATCACTGAACCAGGTAATTTTCTTGCCTGTGTTCTGAATCTGAGGACATTGTTTGGGTCAACTCAATGGTGCTTTCAATGGGGTTGTATGAATCCCATCTTCAGTACGTATGAGCAGATTTTTATACTCAATCTGCTGGTCAATCTGTGCTGAAGTGCGCAGATTATTTATTTTAACTTGTTGATTAATTTAGATATTTAGACATTTTCTTTTACTTTCTGGGATTGCATTACTGATGAAACCACCATATCACTTCATCAATAATACTACCTGAGCTTTGCTTCTTGTTTGATGTGATCATCGTATCTGGCACTGATTATTTCTCCTTTTAAGAATATTCTGCTTGAACTGTGTTTCCTTAGTATCTAAAGTCAGGATTGAATCTGCCATTACACTTTGTTCATCAAATCTTGTTAAATCGAGTTATATCAGTTGAAGATTCATCAATGGAACCCAGGTGGGATACTCCGCTCATTGGCTATGTCATAATCTGTGTTTCCTCGCAAATTTTGCAGATCCTTGCAATATGAGCTCTCATCAGTGTTGATTGAAGTGGCTACCATTCTTGCTAATCCAGTGTAGTTGCAGGTTTCCATGTTGTTGCCAGAACAAAACAAATTGCTAATGCCAACGTAGCTAATATCAATAATTTTGTCTTCTGTTTCAGTTCTGGTTTTGGTAAAATTCAAACCGTGGTGTTTAAAGCTCATTATTATGTATGGATTGAATTGCTCCAATTCTTGTTTATCTTAGAATAATGAGGAGATAGTTCTAAATCAAACAGTTGATTTGCTTGGCTTAAAACAATCAAGCAACATATAAGGATTTGTAATTGGACAAGCTTAACCAATCATTTCACTATGACATTAATAATTAGCTCTGCACTAATGAATTATGCTTTGCTTCAGAAGAAGATTATAAGTGATCTTTGATAAGAAATTGAGTGAGGCTATTTTACACCAAATATTGAGTAATTATTGAAGAAACAACTATTTTTAACATAACTATAATACGAAGCATATTCTCAGACCTGGTAGGAAAACGTCTGAAACTCCTTGTGTTACTTAGAGAGTGAGGATACCCTTTTGGAGAGGTCAGGTACCATTTCATACATAGTCCTGGGGTTCCTTTTGGGGAGGGTAGGTACTTATTATTAAAGATCAGGATCCTGTTGGGTGAGGCAAGGTGTTCCTTTGGAGAAGTAAGTTGCTGTTTTGGTGAAGTAGATTCCCTTTAGGAGAGGTATGTTGGTCTTTGGGAGAAGTAAGGTGTCACTTAGAATTGTTAAAATACACATGAATGTGTGTGAAAATCACTAAACGTATTGGGACTGTAAAACTCAATGGATTGTCAACGGGAGTTGTTAAGAAGAGTTGACAAACTGTCAAGGTAGTTAAAACTGCTGCCCTTCGAATATTAATACAATGTCTGCAGTGTTAAGAAAATCAATACTTCCTTTATCACATTATCTGATAACATAAGTTTAAGAACTGACTGGATTAGTGGCACTTAACTTATTTCACAACCTTTTGTTATCACAGGGGGTGCCTTTCAATTCACTATTATTTTTTCCAGGTTGGGTTTGTGGAGCTTGGATTTATCTAAACTCTGACCCGTGAGTGAACATTCGGGCCCTTCTCTTTTGTTCTTCCTGCCCCTCCCCCTTCCTATTAGACACTTAGATTTCTTCCTTTGCTCCCGGTCTTGATCTGATACTTCAACTTTGTTTCTCACCACAGACTGAAGTGATTTATAGCTTTTAATTAGCTTTAGAGATCAGGAGTAATTCCCTGATAACTTTTGTCTGCTGCGTTCAAATTAGTCCATCCTACAAGTGCTTAGTCTTGTGTTTATAAGACTGGCTGAAGCATTCCACAGGGGAAGAAGCTGCTGAGGAGGTATTTTCCTCCAAATTTCCTGCTTAACTTTAATAAGCGTGAGCTATGTTATAAATTTCCCAGATATTTGAGGGGTCTGGGATATCTCTTTTCAGAATATATACAGCCCCACTTAAGGAGTTTATAGAGAGGAGGGTTTGTTTCAGTTGTTAACAGAAAACCTTAAATGAGTTGACTTACTGATTCTACAATTTTATGAACACAAATTAACAAGCAGAGCACTTTAAATGAATAATTATATGGCTATGCTAAAAAATGATCAAAAGATGTGATACCAAATCTAATAGAATCCAGTTTGTTATTAACAACCGTTCAGAAATATCTAAGAATATCCTGGAATACAGAGTTATACAGCACATGAACAGACCCTTCAGTCCGACTCATCTGCGCCGACCAGACATCCCAATCTCCCCTCATCCCATTTGCCAGCGTTTGGCCCATATCCCTGTAAACCTTCCTATTCATATATCCATCCAGATGCCTTTTAAATGTTGTAACTGTACCAGCCTTCACTACATCCTCTGGCAGCTCATTCCATTCATGCACCACCCTTTGCGTGCAAAAGTTACCCGTTTTAAATCTTTTCCCTCTCACCTTAATCCTATGGCTTCTAGTTTTGGACTCCCCCATCCTAGGAAAAAGACCTTGGCTATTCACTCTGTCCATGCCCCTCATGATGTTATAAACCTCTACAAGGTCACCCCACAGCCTCCGATGCTCCAGGGGACAAAGCCCTAACCTATTCAGCCACTTCCTGTAACTCAAACCCTCCAGTCTTGGCAACATCCTTGTAAAGCTTTTCTGCACTCTCTCAAGTTTAACAATATTCTTCCTACAGAAGGGCAACCAGAATTGTACGCAGTATTCCAAAAGTGGCCTCACCAGTGTCCTGTGCAGCTGCAACCTGATGTCCCAACTCCTATACTCAATGCTGACTGATGTAGGCAAGCGTGCCAAATGCCTTCTTTACCACCCTGTCTACCTGTGACTTTCAAGGATCTATGAACCTGCATTGCTAGGTCCCTTTGTTTGGTCCTGCCCTGCCTTGTATTAACAAAACGCAGCACCTCACATTTATCTAAATTAAACTCCACCTGCCATTCCTTGGCCCATTGATCCATCTGATCAAAGTCCCGTTGTACTCTGAGACAACCATCTTCACTGTCCACTACACCACATATTTTGGTGTTATCTGCAAATTTAATAACCATACCTCCTATATTCACATCCAAATCATTTATGTAAATGACAAGAAGCAGTGGACCCAGCACCGATCCATTTGGCACATCGCTTGTCACAGGCCTTCAGTCCGAAAAGCAAACTTCTATCACCATCCTCTGTCTCCTATCTTCAAGCCAATTTTGTATCCGATTGGCTAGTTCCCCCTAGATCCCATATGATCTAACCTTACTAACCAGTCTACTATGCGGAGTCTTGTTGAACACTTTGATGAAGTCCACATATTGCCTTCATCAATCTTCTTTGTCACCTCTTCAAAAACCTCAGTCAAGTTAGTGAGGCATGATTTCCCTTGCATAAAGCCACATTGATAATCCCTAATCAGTCCTTGCCTTTCCAAAAGCATGTAAATCCTGTCCCTCAGAATCCCCTCCAACCACTGGCATAAGGCTCACCAGTCCACAGTTCTCTAGATTTTTCTTGCAGCCTTTCTTAAATAATGGCGCCACATTAGCCGACCTCCAGTCTGCCAGGACTTCACCCATGGCTGTCGATAATACAAATATCTCAGCAAGGGGCCCAGCAATCTCTTCCCTAACTTCCCACAAAGTTCTAGGAAACAGATGTGTAGATTAGGTGGGTTATAGGGGGATGGGTCTGGGTGGGATGCCCTCAGGGTCGGTGTGGACTTGTTGGGCCCAAGGGCCTGTTTCCACACTGTAAGGATTCTATAAAAAAAACCTGATCAGGTCCGAAGAATAGAACATCCATGAACATTTAAAGCAAAGATTACTTCAAAGTCCTGAGTGTGTAAGACATTTTCTCCCAGTAGGAGAAAATTAATATTTTCCTGTATGTTTCCTTTTATTTCTTTATTATTCAGTGAAGATTTCTTTATGAAATTTTGAAGTTCTACATGAAGTTCGTTTGTCTAGTGAATTTATTTGAATGTTTTACACGCTTGTAGAGATATTCCTTCTATCTCTCCCTAATTCTTTCAACCTTAAAAGAATCTTTTGTTAAAGGTTTATTAGTAAAGCTGTCTCATTTCTCTGTATTTATGTGTTGTTGTTTTCTGATTTCTAGCAGTATTTGTTTGATAAGGATCTTTGCCATCACTTATCAGTTGGATGCTTCTTGTATTTTTCATTTAATTGAAATCTAATTTACACACTTAGGTGTGATGTTGCTCCTTCTCTTTCCAGTGATTTTCAATGAGTGAACTATTATTCATACCTTTTTGTTGTCTGGTAAGTACTAATACATTTACTTAATTAACAGCATATACGTGTCATCTCCATGTCCCCTTCTAGGCATATTCTAAGTTCAAAGTATACATTTAAAGGTTTGGAAGCTGTGGACACCAGTAGCATACTAGAACTTCAAGGGAGGTAAGTGTAATAGCCATCATTAAGGCGAAGGTGCTGGGGAAGCAGAAAGGTCTGTAGGCAAATAAAACACTTGGACCGGATGGACAACACCCTAGAGTTCTGAAGGAGATAGCTGAGGAAATTGTGGAGGCATTGGTAGTGATCTCTCCGGAACCACTGGAGTCAGGGAGGGTCCCACAGGAATGGAAAATGGCTAATCTAACACCCCTGTTTAAGAAAGGAGGGGGGCAGAAGATAAGAAATTAGCCTGGTTAGCCTGACCTTGGTCAATAGTAAGATTTAAGAGTTCATTGTTAAGGATGAGATTGTAGAGTACTTGGAAGAGCATGGTAAATTAGGGTGGAGTCAACATGGCTTTATCAAGAGAAACAAAAACAGGAATTGCTGCAAAAGCTCAGCAAGTCTGGCAGCATCTGTGAAGAGAAATCGGAGTTAATGTTTCGGGTCCAGTGACCCTTCCTGAGAACTTCATCAACGGGGGGCCATGCCTGATAAATCTGTTAGAATTCATTACGGAGATAACGAGCAAGTTCGACAAAGAAGAATCAGTGGATGAGATCTATTTGGATTTCCAGAAGGCCTTTGACAAGGTGCTGCACAGGAGGCTGCTAAATAAGGTAACAACCCATGGTGTTAGGGACAAGGTACTTGCATGGATGGAAAATTGGCGGACTGGCAGAAGACAGGGTAGGGATAAAGGGATCTTTTTCAGGATGGCAGCCAGTGACTAGTGGAGTTCCACAGGGTTCAGTGTTGGGACCGCAACTATTCATGCTATACATTAACAATCTGGACAAAGGAATTGAGGGAATTGTTAAGTTTGCAGATGACACAAAGATAGGTGGAGGGACAAGTAGTGTTGAGGAGGTAAGGAAGCTGCAAGGACTTGGACAGGCTAGGAGAGTGAGTAAAGAAATGGCAGATGGAGTACAATATGGGAAATTGTGAGGTTATGCACTTTGGTACAAAAAAGTCTAGATTATTTTCTAAATATGGAAAGGCTTCGGAAATCTGAAGTACAAAGGGACTTGGGAGTCTTAGTCCAGGATTCTCTTAAGGTTAACATGCAGATTCAGTTGGTAGTTAGGAAGGCAAATGCAGTGTTAGCATTTATTTCTAGAGGTCTAGAACACAAGAGCAAAGATGTACTGCTGAGGCTGTATAAAGCTCTGATCAGACTGAATTTTGAATATTGTGAGCAGTTTTGGGTCCTATAGCCAAGAAAGGATGAGCTGGCCTTAGAGGAGGCTTACAAAATAATCCCAGGGATGAAGCGCTTGTCATATGAAATCTCTGGGTCTGTACTCAATGGAGTTTAGAAGGATTAGGAGTGATCTCATTGAAATTTACAGAATACTGAGAGGCCTGTATAGAGTGGACATGGAGAAGAAGTTTCCTCTAGTTAGAGAGACTAAGACCCAAGGGCACAGTCTTGGTGAGGGCACAACTCTTTAGAATTGAGTTGAGGAGGAATTTCTTCAGCCAGAGGATGATGAATCTGTGGAATGCATTGCCACAAAAGGTTGTGGAGGTCAAGTCATTGAGTGGATTTAAGACAGAATTGGATATATTTGTAAGGGAATCAAAGCTCACAAGGAGAAGGCAGGAGAGTGGGGTTGAGAAACATATTAGTCATAATTGAATGGTGAGCAGATTTCTGAAGAAGGGTCTAGACCAGAAACGTCAGCCTTCCTGCTCCTCTGATGCTGCTTGGCCTGCTGTGTTCATCCAGCTCTACACCTTATTATCTTAGCTAGGAAGTTACATGGATATCGGGATGGAGTGCCAATTGTTGATAGCCAGACAGCCATCATGCACTGTATGCCCCTGTGTTAGGGTCACAATGAGAACAGAAACAAAAGACGCTTACAAAGCAGACTTTGGGCTGATGTTTGGGGCTATTTTTTCAAACTACAAGAAGTTTCTCAGTCTGGGAGGTCCTCAGCAATGCCTGTCTGCTCATGGGCATTGTGCACAAATGTCTCCAGGTGTTAGGACTGTTAGAATGTGTAAACGTTCATCTGTGTGGCCAGTCCTTGGGTGCTTGCAAATGTCAATGTGTCACATTAAGAGCGATCTGTGTGGCCTACAAAACACGCTCCTACAGCTTCCCCGCATAAAAGAAGAATGCAACAACAATGAGGCTGCAGCTACTCATTGGCCTGGTTTATTCTTCATGAAACAATGTGGTTTTGAAGCCAGGAGTAATGGTAAATGGAGGTTAGACAAGCAAACTGCTACATGAGCAAAATAATATTCTGAAAGAGGATAGACTTAGTATGACAATCCAAATACAGCTTTTTTTTTATTCTGAACTCCTATTAATAAGACCATAAAATGTTGGATCAGAAGTAGGTCATTCACATCATTGAGTCTGCTCTGCTATTCAAGGAGATCATGGCTGATCTGATAATCCTTGACTCCACTATCCTGCATTTTTCCCTGCCTTTTAATTACAAGATGAAGACCAGAACCATCCAACTGAAAAGAAACGGCAAAGATCCTCATCACGTGAAAACCATTTTTGATTGTTACTGTCTAGAATCTGAATTTCCTTTCCTTTAATTTTTTAAGGATGTGAGCGTCATCAACAAAGCAGCATTTATTGCCCATTCCTCATTTCTTTCAACTGAGTGGCTTACTCAGCTATTGCAGAAGGCTGCTTAGGGTCAACCACATTGCTATAGATCTACAGCTGGACAGGTAGTGGGGGCAGATTTCCAAACATAACAGGTAGCGTTCAAAATGTCAATCAATGATAGCCTCATGGTCACAGTTGCTCTGCTGAACTTTCAATTCCAGAATAATTAATTAATTTAAATTCCTTTGGTTGCCAGGAAGAGATTTTAACCCGTGCCCCCAGAGCATTAGCCTTGGCCTGTGGATTACTAGTCCATTGATACTCCCAATGCCCTACCACTCATTCGTTCTTGGCTTATGACTGCTCTCTCACAGCCATGGAATGAGATGAATACAACCATACTTAAGCTCAAGCAACATCCAGCAGGGCAGGGACTGAAATCATGGGCCCCAGTGCTGCCTCTGGTCCAGGACCCTGCCCTGACCCGTGCATAGTGGCCTTGCCCCTCGACTTGAGCACAGCAGGTCCACACCCAAAGGCTGAGGTGGGGAGGGGGGTGGGTGAATCTGATTGAGGTACACAACCAGGCATAAGGTAGATAGGAAGAAAATTTATTACAGGAGTCAATATCTGGGGGTATGGACTTGAGGGAAGGGGGCAGGATGTTTAGAGGTGATTTTAAGTTATTTTTCACCCAGAGGATAAGGGGTATCTGGAACTCACTGACTGAAAAGGTAGAGGCAGGAACCCTCTCACATTTAAAAAGCAATGAGATGTACAGTTGAAATGCCATACCTGCAGGCCAAGTGTTGGATAAAGGGATTAGGGTAAATAGATGCTTGATGAATGGCATGGACCAGATGGGCTGCAGGGGCTCTTCCTGTGCTGTAAAATACTATGACCCCATGAATCTATGACCATCTGCAGTTTTTAAATGGGCAAAGTATGTGGGGATGACTGGGATGTGAGACAGAGGATTAGGTATGAGGATACAGTCATCTTCAATCATCATATACCCACTGCTGATCATGGCCCTACATCCCAAAAGTATTCAACATGGTCTCTTGTATGGTACTTGGAAATGTATTGGAAACAATTAAGAAGTAATAGCAGAACATTTGGAAAATCATAGCCAAACCAAGTAGAGTCAGCAAGGATTCATGAAAGAGAAATTGTGTCTGACTAACTTATTAGAGTTTCTTAAGGAAGTCTCAACCGGTAGATATGTTGTATTTGGACTTCCAGAAGGTCAATAAGGTACCTCTCAAAACATTAAATCATAAGATAAGAGCCCACAGTGTTGGAGGTTGTATTTTGGCATGGATAGAGAATCGGCTAATGGGCAGAAACTAATGAGCGGAATAAGAGGCTCTTTTTTCAGGTTGGTTACTCACGAATGGGGGATTCCACAGGGACCGATACTGGGACGGCAAATATTTACAATAGAACATAGAACATAGAACATTACAGCGCAGTACAGGCCCTTTGGCCCTCGATGTTGCGCCGACCTGTGAAACCAATCTGAAGCCCATCTAACCTAAACTATTCCATTATCATCCATATGTTTATCCAATGACCATTTAAATGCCCTTAAAGTTGGCGAGTCTACTATTTTTGCAGGCAGGGCATTCCACGCCCTTACTACTGTCTGAGTAAAGAACCTACATCTGACATCTGTCCTATATCTATCACCCGTCAATTTAAAGCTATGTCTCCTAGTGCTAGCCATCACCATCCGAGGAAAAAGGCTCCCACTGTCCACCCTATCTAATCCTCTGATCATCTTGTATGTTTCTATTAAGTCACCTCTTAACCTTCTTCTCTCTAACGAAAAACAGCCTCAAGTCCCTCAGCCTTTCCTCATAAGACCTTCCCTCCATACCAGGCAACATCCTGGTAAATCTCCTCTGCACCCTTTCCAATGCTTCCACATCCTTCCTATGATGCGGTGACCAGAACTGTACGCAATACTCCAAGTGCGGCCACACCAGAGTTTTGTACAGCTGCAACATGACCTCATGGCTCTGAAACTCAATCCCTCTACCAATAAAACCTAACACACCGTACGCCTTCTCAACAACCCAATCAACCTGGGTGGCAACTTTCAGGGATCTATGCACGTGGACACCGAGATCTCTCTGCTCATCCACACCACCAAGAATCTTACCATTAGCCCAGTACTCTGTATTCCTGTTACTCCTTCCAAAGTGAATCACCTTACACTTTTCCGCATTAAACTCCATTTGCCACCTCTCAGCCCAGCTCTGCAGCTTATCTCTGTCCCTCTGTAACCTGCAACATCCTTCCGCACTATCCACAACTCCACCGACTTTGGTGTCATCTGCAAATTTACTAACCCATCCTTCTATGCCCTCATCCAGGTCATTTATAAAAATGACAAACAGCATCAAAATCACCC